CTTCCTTGGTTTGCCATCACTATATAGAAAGGGATATTGAGAAGTTATTAAACTACTGCTAATACCTAGCCTGACTCAAACCTTTTCAAAAGAAAATTTTGCATTGCAGTGTTCGTTACAAAGGTCTGTTTCTGTAGGTAGTAATAATATTAGTTAAGAATGAGTTAGGAATCTATTTTAAAAGACAAAGTAAATAAAGTAACTGCTGCATTTAGGAATCATGGTAATCCAGCATAGTTTCAGCTTGTTTCCTTGCATGTTTCAACACACAAGAAAAGAGACTTGTGTTTCTTTCTTGAAATGGTAAAGCCCAGGTGTTTTGTGCAGGTATTTTGAAGTCCATAGCAATACATAATAACCAAGATGAGCAGAACTGCTCATCCAACCATTGTAAATTCTGCTAAAGATTAAATCAGTCCCAAAGAGTTGATAGACTGAGGAAAAACCCGCTTTGTGTAATACAATAAATACCAAGAGATACTCGTGTCTATAACATTAAGAGAAAAAGTTACTTTATAATGATAGCTGTTTGTTTCTATTTGTTTGTTGGTTTTTTTTCACTTAGTGGATTTTAAAAAATTATAATTACAAAAATTAAATTGAAAATCTAGATAATTTTTTAAAGATGTACTGTATTACAAATGTCAGAAATTACTCCATTCCATATACATGGCGGGTGGAGGGGAGAAGCTCCTTGCCCTATTTAGTTCAATTAATAATGAACATTAATGAATTACATTGTTTATTTCATTTTTTATCTTGTAAGCCCTGCAGTTGAGCAGGCAGGTGGAAATAGTCTAGCTGTATTTTACTGACAGATTTCTCTGGGTACACAGCATGACTGTTAGGAAGGTACAATTGGATCAGTGAATTTTTTTTCTATACTATATCTTCTGCTGTTTTCATGTATGATTGTATAACAGATGAGCATTATTTACCTGTTTTCCTGGAATAGCAGATTGATTTTTTTTGTACAGGGGATGTTAAGTGAATTAGGCAGATGAGCAGCTAGCCTATTTGCTTAAGGAGGCTGGTGTTTAGACAAGCAGGCTATGGCAGGATATGGAGAAGTCTGGAGGTAAAATACTCTGGATGTAACCATTCTGGTAGAAGAACTAAACTGAAATGGGGACACTACTGTTAATTCATGTGTAATTACCTTCCTTTGTTGTTAAAAATTAAATCCTGGGCAAGAGGAAAATTTGAACCTGGAACTGTGTTTTGAAGCAAATTTGAGCTGATGCCTTTCCAAAAACCTTTGGATATTGCCAGGACATAGTCACCAGGAGGTAGTTGCCTGATGGGTGCATTTATGTTCTTCTGCTGTCTAACTTTTCTGAGTTTATCAGCTTCTCTCATCATGCAGGTAATTTATAAAATATCACCTACTACAGTTTTGCTTCTTTTTCTCTCTTCTCTGCACTAAACCACAGTTTGAGGGAAGGATTCACCATGCACTGTTCTTTTGTGGGCAGCCTCCATGTCAGCTACCAGGAATTCCTTGATCTTTGAGGTTGGCATTTAAATCTGCACAAAAATTATTGCAGTTCATTGTGCCTAATGGGATTGCTACCATAAGACCAGAGACCTCAAAGCTCTCCCCATGGAAGTAATTCTGCAGGAGTCTCAGCAGGGATACAGAATGCAAGGCCTTTGTACCTTGAGATTTGTACCTTAAAAAACTGTGCATGCATTCTCTGCAACATGGTAAGCATCCTGCAGCATTTCCCCACTTCCCCACCTCCCCCCCAAATGTTGTTTTTAACTGCATTTTCTAATGTGTGGAATTACTGCATCTGAAGAGTACTCCTATTTTTGCTTTTTTCCATCAGTGTAGCAGTCTGACGCATCTATTTTGGATGTTAGTCTTTCACATTTCTACACTAGGCTATAAGTTCATCTTTTCACTGGAGCATCAGTGCAGATGTTTTCTCAGCTGCTTGTTTCTCTGATGCTTGTCCCTCCCTTGTCCCCCATTGTACTGATACATACTTCAAAATACTGGATTTTGGCATTTCAACTAAGATGTGGCACACCAGTATGGTGCCTGAGCCTGGCATTTTTAGTACAGGCCATAACATGCAAAAATGATTGTGTTAGCTTTTGCTGTGTTTGTAGACAAATGAAGCTTAATATATCTGTCCAGGCTCAGTATTACCCATTAATTTCTTTCGTTGATCATTTCAATCTGTGTTGCTCATGGCTTTTCAACCTCTGTTAGACTTTCTGTCAGAGAGTGCTGGCACTACAGAACAAGAAGGTTCGCTGGCTGGCTGACTCTGTACTTCTATTGTGTGTTGTCTTTATTATATTTGTGGGATTTATTGTTATTTCACTACAAATCTTCACAATTTTTTAAAGTCCTATGTTAACCCTGAAAAGTTATAGAATTGGGTTAAGAAGTAAAATGCTTTCAAAGCATTCTTGTCCTGAAACAACTCTGCAGGGCATGAATAAGTAACAAATGGATTGTTCTTCAGTCAAAATGAATCAGCTGATATGAGCTTCCCCATGAAAAATATAGTTGAGCTTTTAGAGATACCTGTAGGGTTATATTTCTCCCCTCTTAAGTTGTACAAGAATTTAGATTACCTTGAATCAATGATCATAGGCTGAATTGACCTCTGAAATTCTAGATCATCATGAACTTTGTGAGGAGATCAAACTGTGTGGGATCCTGTGTTAGAGACGATGTATTTTGTCTGTGTATTTACAGTATATATTTAGCATGACAATGCATTAATTATATGATTTCCTGAAGTTCTTCAGGGTCTGAATATGTATCTTTTTTAAAAATACAGTATGCAGTGGGAAGCCATACTGGTATTTATGGTTGATGAGTCACAGTAATTTCAGACTAGATAAAGGTGAATACTTAAAGATTATATCAGCTAATTGAAGATTTTGAGGAAATACTGCTTGCAGTTTCATTTTTAAAATGTTTTTTCTTTCTCTTATATGGCTGTCCATGTTAAATATGTATATAAAGTTATTATTGTCTTGTATGTTATAATTATACCTTGTACAGACACAAAGTTATAGTTCTTGTAATAAATACCTCCAGTATAAGTTGTACTGTGGCATAATTAACTATTGCTTTTTTTTCTTTTTCAACATCTCGTTACTTTCAGTATAAGTCCAGTGGAAGGACCGTAAATAAGTAGGTTGTCTTAAGTAGCTTTTCTTTTTCCCCAGTGTGACCTTAATTTAGGGGATAATAGGATTTTTTAAACTTCCTTAGCAAACACTCACTTTAGAGGTGAAGAACTTTGCCTTTTCCTTCTGATAATTATAGTCTCAGATCTGCTCAAAATATACTAATCTGGTCTTCCCATTTGATGTTTGTGCACTAAATGTCTTCGGTCAGCTTTCTTGCCCCTCTTTCATTAATGCAGTGGTTTATTCCTACCCAGTGGCATATAAGGAGGTGGCTAAAGAGCTCCATTGAATGCTCTTTCAGAAGTTTGGCTCTATATTCTGACTTGTGTTCTCGCTTTAACATCTGGCAAGTGTGAAATTTTAAAGTTGAGTGTTTTCACTGCAGTGCTGAGCATTCCCTTACATGGTTTCCTGTAAATCTGTTATTTTTCATCAGTGGGAAGCTTAGAAGTACTTGGAGGTAAATGCTGCCTGCTTAGCTTTGCACAAACTCCATGTGCCAAATTTTTAGTATGTGCACTGCTATGTGGTTGATGAAGTCCATTTGCCATGGCGACTGGGATAGCTGCTTCCAGGACTTCCCTATTGAGGGATCTGCAAACAAGCTGGGAAGGCAGTGAGGAAAACTGACAGCCGAGGTCAGTCCAGCAGCCTTGGCAGTTAGCGTGTGAAAAGGTCCTGTGGTAGCATTGGTGATGATGCTTTGCTATTAAACTTGAATACCTCTGAAATGTTCTGTATTACTAAACTGATAGCTGTGATGTTTATTAATGGTACTGCTATGGGAAGGTAATGAGACACCTTTGGAGCCCTCTGGTAGAAGTGTTTCAGGATCTTCTGCTATTATTTCTGAAAGAGCATGGTAACAGAGAACGTCAGGTCATCTCAGGAGAAATTACACAAGATAATGTGATTGCTGAAAAATTAACACAAGTCACAGCTGTATGATAAGAGCTTGAAAAAGTTTTTTCAAACCATATAAAGTAAAGAGAAAAAATAGAAGTGACTCCCCAGGCAGGGCTGAAATAGATGCATGGTATCTGCGGAGGCTTAGTCCTGTAGTCTTTGGCATAATTTGAAAGTTGAAGTTGCTTTAAAAATCTGTGGTTGTTTCTGAAAAAATTCTTGAAAAACAACTTCAAATTCAATTTCCTGAAAGTGCAAAAGTTCCGCTAAGTACAGTAGGTTTCCTTGTTTTCATGTGTTAATTCTGGTATTCTAAAAGCGTGCAAATGGCATTTGTCTTTGGATTTACAAAAACTCTAGATATTCAGAGTTTGAATTATTTAAACTCCCACAACACGTGCACTTTTGCTTTTCAAGCTTGAGTTATAATTTAATTAAAAACTTCTGGTGCATCGCTAGCTATTTAAATATTAAAATGTTCCATGGATCACTTTCGATTATCTACCGTCATGAAATTCCTGAAGATGTCAGATTTTTAAGATTCCCAAAGTTGCACTTGGAATTGTCTGTTGATGCAAAGGGGACTGTGATAATTACATACATCCATTAGTATCAGCAGAGGAGATAAACTTTGGGGAGGCTTAATGGGCATGTCTCAGTGACAGCTAGCAAAGAACATTTGGCATGATTAAGGATGGATTTGAATGTACTTGAAAATATACTCTCATTATGGACGCCCAGTGGAAGTTGCACTACAAATGTTAAATTCCCCAGAAGAAGAGTTGTGTGGCAGGGAAGCTTTGAAATCCACTGTGGCCGTCATCCAAATTACTCTCTTCTCTTTGTGTCTTTCTGCTGTCAGATTCACTTTGTGATGCCCAACTTGGCTCCTTGCATCTTTGAAAAGAGGCAACCTGTTGGTTTCTGTGTTTCAGATTGTCCGAAGATACATCAAGGACTGGCTGGAAAGGAAGAAGCCTCCATTTGGTGCTATCAGCAGCTGTGTGCTCCTCATGATCATCTACACAACCTTCTGTGATACTTTTGCCAATCCAAATATTGACCTTGATAAATTTAGCTTGATTATAATAGTCTTCATAAGTAAGTTCAGTCTTGAAACATCTCTTTTATTTGTTTCAGGTGTGTAATGAGCTATATGTACTGGAAAGGGTGGGACACGGGTGATACTGGCATGGGACTAGAGCTTGTATTTTTAACATGTCTAATACACCAGATTACTGGACTTCTTAAGGGCTGGATGCTTGTAAGGGATTGAGTAAGCTTTTAGAGAGGGATGAACACTGCCATTTAGGTGTGCCTGAGATTGCTCAGTGTTCTTCCCTTTCCAAAAAGTCACAGTACTATCTTTCAAATGTTTATGACCATTCTGTTTTGGCTTCTTTGTTATTAAACACCCATAAATGCACAGATGTTGCATTCCAAACAGAAAGAAAATATTTGGGTTTGAGCTGTTAGTCAGAAATACTGTTACAACTTTTAAATGGTTCTTCCTTACTGTATTATAAACCTAGAAACTAGTTGGGAGTTTGAACGTGTTGATATATTTCTGTGGATGAACACTTTTCTTGCAGAGTTTGTTTTAGAAGCACTCTAGTCATTCAGCCTTAAATAACATACACATGAGAATAGACTGCTGGTATCCTTGCCATCAGTTAAAAATACACTTGCAGATCACTACCTCCCAGGGAAAGGCAGTGGTATACAAGCACTGTCTCCTCTCCCAGTAGGGATTTCCTGTCTTACTTCAGACTGTCCAGAGACAGGAGTTTCAATTTGCTTGGGGGTGAGGTAACTGCAGTACACTACACTATAAATCACATCTCATACACTCTGAAGCTGTTAGATTTGAAGAAATCAATGCATCACCTACCTTGAAGTGTGTGCATATGCACGTTTCTGTCTAATAAAAATAATATATCTTCTATAAATCTAACCTCCACTAAAGTCAGTCCCTGCCCTTAGTGGCTCAGTTCTTATTCTATCCTAATCGTGGCAGTTTTTTGGATTATGAAACACTATAATAATGTAAAATACGACATGGAATTATAACCGGTACTGTATCAGTACTTTATTCTGAAAGCAAAGAAGAAGAAAGCCATTCTAAGGACCTTTTTCTCAAAATGGAGGAAATACTTGTTTGTATAGGCACCTGAGAAGGACCACATCCCAGATGCATTTAAATCAGTGCAGAGTTGTCAGCAAAACAGAGGGATGTGGACATTTTAAACTGTGACAACATGCAGAGAAACTCAGAATGAAGTAATTCTATGTTAGTGATGACCGCTACTTTGAAAAAAATTCTTTTGCTGTTAAAAAGGCGTGTTCTTCCTTGAACAGTTGACACAAAGTGGTTGCTTCCATTACTTTTCTTGTCCTGTCTTTAATTCCCCTGCAAGACAACTCTGCCTTTGTGCCATGTGTGATTATATATACCACTTGCAGTGCAATGCACTGAAAATCATTATATATACATTTTATTTCCGGTGTGCATAGCTGGAGTTTCTTAGTAAGAAGATTAACATAAGCATTGAAACTGCTTGGAACGTATTAGACATTAGTTTTTCTTCTGAAATATTTATAAAACCGAAAAACAAGGAAGTTGTGGAGATGGATATGGACACATATTCTAGAAAAAGTTTCTGAACCTCCATTGGATGTGTTGGTTGGATGTGTGTGTTGTGTTATATCAGGGTGCGAAATTAGCACAAAGAGTTTAAGATAAAACTGCATTTATTATTCTGCTGATTAATATTTTCATATCATTTTTATGTTAATATTCTAGCCACAGCAAAATATGCACAAGGGATAATTGGAAGCAACGGATGCTTATTGCTTTACAGAATTATATGTATTAAGGGGTTTTATTTCTGTGCATATTAAGTTAATGTACTTAGTTGCAGAAAAAAATAGTGATTCAGGAGCAATGGATTACTTCCTTAGTTCACAAAGGAAGAATTAAGTCCATGCTGAGGTGATGTTTATACATCCTAGGAAATGTATGTAAGAGAATGGAAAATGTCACTGGTAATAGCTAATATCCTTGCCATGTTGCCCAGTTGTAAACTAGGGTCAAGATCAAATGTATTGTCTTGGCTTGCACTAATCTATGGGACACATTAGCCTTATTGCACTCACAAGTTTTGCAAGGAGAAGGGAGACGGCCCACCCCAGATTCTGCTGAAAGTCAAAGCTCTTCCCCCATAAAAGAACAGAAAAGGTCTGTGCTGGTCTCAGAGTTTCTGCTCCAGCTCTGTGGGGAGTTCCTGCACCCTGGCACAGCGCTTGGTCTCTGCAGCCCCAGGAGCTCCTCACAGCACAGCGGGGAAGCTGCCTGCTTCCCAGATCTCACTCCTGTCACCAAGGGTGAGCTCTGCATCCCACAATCACGAGAGCTGGCGGAGGGAAGAGCTACCCTTAGTATGCCCAAAAACTGTCCACACTCACAGAGCCAACTGAGCTTGAATGAAAGTTGCTTTATCTGATGTACCTTGCATGGGTCAGGAATTAGCCTTTGTCTCTGAAAGAATTGAGTATCTGTGATGATCTTCTGTTAACAGTGATCGTACGCTGGGAGAATAATATATCCAGTGTGTAAGAATATTTACTGTGATCGTACTTAGACATTGTATTTCTGCTAAATAGAAAGGGGCTAAATTTAAATACTTGGCAACCAGAGCATTGTCCAAGAGATTTTATGTTGTCAACTCAATAGTGCAAACAGATGGGCAGCATGCAGCAGTGACCTTTCCTGCCATTCATCGTGTCAAGAAATACTTGATTCAGAAGAGTTACCTCAGGAGGAACTTGTATAGCCATGATATTAGCTCTGGCTTTCTTGGATGAAATGGTACATATTGTTCTTCCAGACGTGATTGTCTTTAAAGGTTGCCTTTTACTGGATTTCTCTGGGTAGACTTGGTCCAACCTAGCTTCTGACCTGTTGTAGAGAGGCAAAATGTACATGTACATCTGGCGTGTACAGAGCAATTGCAGAGATTTAAGTGATCTTTACTTCTCTGATGTACGTCTAATTTTAACTTGTTTCTCTTTCAGTATTTTCTGTTCAGATGAGCTTCATGTTTTTAACTTTCCTCTTCTCTACAAGGTAATTGAATGTGCTCAGTCAGAATATTTGAATATTTGTTTTGTGCAATATATTTGTTTCGGGTGATACAGTTTATTCAAATATGTAAAGGCAGGTTTCTGAATAGGGGTGACCTCATTTTGGTATTTCATATTGTCCTTACTGCATTTTCTCTTAGAGTTTCATAGGCTAAGAGAGCAGGACCTGAATTCTGTCCTTTCTTGTGTGTTAATTACAGAGTTATTAAATCTCAATCAATCACTGCTATACCTCATCCACTGAAAAAAAATTGATTTGCACAGATGTCACTGAAGGTATAATTTGTCCTGCAGACATGCTGATGACATATGAGAGAGAGAACTCAGTTTGACTTTTTACATCTCAAGATACATTTGCTGGGCTGGCAATTCACTCTTCTCTGTATATGTCAAATGTGTTACAGTTATATGGTGATTCTTAAAAGGCAGTTGTCCTGAACTAATGTTTGGTAGAGCTAATTTTTTTAATTATTTTTAAAATTTCTACCAGGAAGAACAGTTGCATATTCACTTCTCAAAAAATAGTACCATGAGAATGATGTTAGCCAGTGGTTTAGTACATAACTTGAGCTGGTCAGAGTATCCACCAGTGTCCTCTCACTTAGGCTTCCCTGAGAGTTTTCCTTAGCAGCACTCTGCTGAACGGGACGCGCCACAATACAGCAGAGTCCAGATGCGTGCTTTATAGAAATTATACAATATCCATAAGGGAGAATCACAAAGATCTACTTATGCTTTTTTAGTGCCACAAGAAAATTTCTCTGTGACAATGTCATACCCTGACCTTAGAAGGCATTTTAAAATAACTTCTGAAATGCTAGTCCTGACCTGGCAGGGAAATATGTCCCAACTGTAAAATGTAAAATGCCATAAGTAGTAACCAACTTACACAGTATGGCAAATATTTATAATCCTATAAAATTATTCCTGATTTGGACCAAAGGGTGATCTGTTGGCCAGTCATATACTGCTGTATGTCATTTTTCCACCCTTCCTGGCCTTATTCTCAGTGTACAAACCCTTACATAAAGTTTTCTCTGAAGTAGAAGATAACTGCATATTCTAGGGTAGTGCTTATAGTGTGGACTCAATATACTATCTAAATTGAGCTTTTTTAAACATTGCATACTAGGAAAAGAAACTGTAGGTCATTCTTTTCAGAGGCAAGCTGGCCGCTGCTGTGATACAGCATGTTTGCAAAGGTAGGTGTGGCTAGAATAAAGTTGTGTCCTACATACCGTGTGTTCACAATTCCTCTCCTTCACAAGGGAGCGTATTCATTAGAGAGTTTGCTACAACTGAGAAACAATTCTGCTTAAGGAAAAAAAAAATCATACACTACTGTTCATTTGTGGGTAGAATTATTTCTGTCACTAGACCTGATCAAAGTGAAGTAAATGTGCATATGGATCCTTAAAGTCATATATTTGATCAATGGTGTTTTAAGAAGGGTTTTTGCTATGAGAGATTATTAAAACTCTTTCTTTTCTAGGAATAACTCTGGTTTCACACCAGCAGACACAGTGGCTATAATTTTCTGTTCCACACACAAATCTCTCACCCTGGGTAAGTAAGGAAAATAGCTTTTGAGCAAAGCAACAGTAACATTCATACTTTACTGTGTTGAAAAAATGTTGGTGGTTGCTGGTTTTAGTGTTACAAGTAATGCTACCAGTATGATACTAATAGTAGGATAATATTCTTGCACAGATAAAATAAATGCTTATTACAGGGCAAACAACACAAGTCTTCTCAGCTGAGATTTTAGTGTTAAGGAAAGCTGGATTTTTCTTTCTGTTCCTATTCTGTTCTGTTGCCTAATCCAATACTGATGAAATTTCAGTTTCATTACTGAAAACATTGTAAGGTATATCTGCCCAGTCTCACAGTAGAATCTTACACCTCAAAGCTAGGAGGTACAAGTGAAAATCAAAGCATGTTGTGTATTCAGAAACCACAAATAGACAGTACTGCCTTTTGCTTAACATGAGCAAAATATATGTATTTTAAGTCTGCAGATAGTTTGGACAGTCTTATTTATTAGAAGTAATTTTTCAAAACATCAATGAGATATTTGTCACTTATGATCCCTTAGTAACAATAAGATGTTCTGATGGAAATTAACAAAATACTGCTAGATCAGTTATGCTTACAGCTGCTTGCTACTGCTTCATCCATTATGTTCAGTCATTGAAATGACTAGTACTTGGATATTTTCTTACCGTTTTTCAAACTTTAAAATCATGCATTTGATAGAGCATATGTGACTGAATATATGCCTCTTCAAAACTCTGTCTGTCAAAGAGAAGCACAGCCAGTGTCAGTAACAAGGGTAAGAACTCGGCCTGAAACAGGGGAAGAACAAGTCAGGACTTAGGTGAGATGTTTTCAAGTCAGTTTGATGTAGCGAAACTCATCTCAGGGTTCTTTACTTCAGCCAGGCCTATGCTGCAGAACTGTTAGCAAGTGACCTTGAAAGTCTGTGGGAAGTGGAGGAGTTCCTGGAAGACAAGAAAAAGGCAAACATTATGCCTTTTTTCACAGTGGAAATGAGGAGGGGACAAGGAATTATAGATAAGTGAGTTTAACTTAAGTCTATAGAAAACAACTGAAACAAATAATTAAAGAAATTATTCTAACAGTGTAGGAAGAAACAAGGAAATTAGTAACAGCTCCATAGATTGCTCAAATGCATATCATACCAAACCAGCCTAATTTCCTTTCACACAATATTCTGTGTTGCAGAGAAGTAGCAGAAGTTTTATGGCTTGAGAGTGTTATGACTTGTGTCACTTGCATGGTGTTTTGGGCTTCACAATTCAAAAATCATGCGGACCAACTGGAAAGAGATCAGAGAAAAGCACCATGAATGATCATAGATGTCAAAAACGTGACCTCGGATGAAGGTTGAAACAATTGGGATTGTTGAGAGAAGATAGCTGAAATACAGTAGTGATCTTCAAGTGCATGAAAGGTTGATGCAAAGAAGGAAAAAAGTAACTCACAGTGGACTTTGAAAAGGGAAGGACTTTGTAACAGAGATGAAAATTTAAGCTAACAGTCAGGGAAACCTGTTTAATGTAAAACAGTCTAGCTCTGGAATACATTGCCTGTTGATGTCTTGAATCTCCTATCATTGTAGACAAGTGTCAGGAATTAGATTGCTGGAGTTGATCCTACCTTGGAGCAGAATATAGATTAAATGACATTAGGTCTTTTTCAGCCAAATCTTCTACAAAACTGAAACTTCAACTAATAAATGAGCTTGTATTCAGGAGAATAGTTACATTTGTGTTTATAGAAAGCAACCCCACACATAAGTAACAACATGCTATTATAAGGACAACATGCTATTATAAGTAACAACTTGCCATTATAAGGACATGCATATAAACTTAGGACACAACTGTGATACTGTAAGAAGCTGGTTGTATTTAGCAGCACAAATGTGCAAGTCTCCCCTTTCCTTCCCAGTGAAAATAGTTTTCTCCATGCTCTATGAATACTTCTGCAGCTTGCCATGGCACTAAGAAAATAAGCACTAAGTTGTTTTGTTTTTTTTTTATATTTAAGTTCTAAAGGGGCTTGCCTTCACCTTCTTTTATTCACTCTACCCAGCATCCTCATGCAGCCTGTCTTGACCTGCACCCTATGCACATAGCTGAGTCAATTCACTTTTCTTCTCCTAGTACACTCTCCTTTTTATGTTTTATTTTCTCCTTTAAAAGAACCTCGTTTGAGGTTCCTAGCTTGCTTGACTTTTTGGCTCACATTTTCCCAGTTCCAAGTTACTGCTCTCATTAGCACAGCCTGATGAGTCAGGCCTTGTATTTTGCAGCTTTCTTTGCCCAAGAACACCAACAAAAATACTTTGACCACCTTGACTTCAAGGACTCCTACAGCTTCTCCCCAGCCATATATACTTTTACCCTCCTAATACAGATGGCTCATAGATAAGTGCAAATTGAAATTAAACAGGTAGATGGTGGAATGCAGTATTGCAGGACTGTTTCATGCCTATAGGCTGAGCTGTTTGTCAGCTTCAGGACTGACTGCTTTACCTTCATCCTTGAAAAGCTTAGCTTTCATGGAAAGCAAGTTTACTTCCTAGGAGGCTTGTCACAAGATGTCATTCGTTGTTATGCTTTGCACTTTTGCACTGCCTTTCCTTGCTGCTCAAGGCCTGTGTTGAGATTGCTGAGTGGCTGGGACCTGCTTCCCTTGCTGTATTCCATCTCTGAGGCTCAGCTTTCTCAAGGTTTCTTTGAAGATCTCAAGTTTGTCTTGTGTGGGGCCAACAGCAGTGTGTCCTGAATTGAGCACCACCCCCAATGGGGAAATGCTCTTTTTAGCAGTCCCTGGGAGCCCATCTTTGGTAAGCCTGAGGGCCCTGCCGCTCTTTGGTGCACCTCTACACGGTGTGTGCACTACACAGGCATGCCTGTTGTGTATCAGTTTCAAGCTGTCTGGTTTTGTGACCATTGGTATTTTACTCTGTTCTGTATTAGTACTAGGTCCAGGTAAGATAAAGCTGCATAAACACATATTTCTATGTTAATAGGGAGGATTGAGTTTTATAAAGCTGTAGGGTGATAAGGCATGCCCCTGAAATGATGATGTAAACTGGAGCTGTTAACCAGAGAAGCTAGCTTTTATTCCTTCTCTGAAGGTGGAAGCAGAGTAGATCTGATTTGTTTTTAAGGATAAGGCACTTCTGAATAACAGTTAAATATATCTGCAGCACAGTCTTGTCCACCCTGATCTTAGCAGAAACAAGAACAGACATGCGCATTTTGGCCCTTACTCTTTTGTTGTTCTGTCAGGTTTCTCCTTGTCCAAAGGTGTTTACTATAAACCCTTCAAGTTGAAGCCTTCTGTTCTCTTGTAGCAGAGAGAGTTTTTCCCCCTCTCTCTGTCATTACAATGCCTGAAAGCACAAACAGAGCTCAGGGTCTGGTTTCACATCCGTTGTGGAGCTCTGCTTTGTTTGTCTTCAAGATTCTGGTGGTAGTGTATAAATGACCCCCCAACACTTGTTCTTTCACTTTGAAACTGATTTCTCTCAGCTTGGCAGGTGAAACTCCAAATAGGTACGTCTGGCCCATACCCCAGAGAGCTTAGAATGGCACTGACTAAAGTGGGAGAAGAGCTGACGGATTTAAAGCTTTAGAAGTGGTAATAGGAGAGGCATGAGAAGACTTTTATAAGTCACTTTCTCCCACACCATATTATGAAACCAACTAATTCCCATGCAGTGCATGCTCATGAGGCCAACTGCCACTTCCATTGCTGAATCCATGAATAAGTGCTTGCTCTGCACAGAGATGAGTGCTGTTCCCATATGCTGGGTTTTATTTTGTAGACAGAACAGTTGACACACTTTTTGTCTCAGAGATCAGAGTGCAGGGCATGTTTGTGTAAGGACAGATTACACAGGGTAGGTGCCTTTGTGTTTCTTAGTTAGGAACACAAGCCGATATTTCTGAATAGAGGTAGGTGCTTTGGCAGTTGTTTGAATACAATACATCACATATGCAGAAAAAAACCAATGTTGAATTGTATTTCACTTAATAAGTGAAACAGGATAGAAACCTAAAACTAGCGAAGATAAATACAGTATTCACAATGCCCTCTGGCATATCCACCCATACTTTGTTCTCTTTCTCTCCTTCTTCCTACTCACATATATGCACAGTACATGTGAGCACACGCACATGCGGACATTTGATGCATGGCTTTTATTAGTGCATTTGCCATTGATTGATTAGTACTTAGTATTAGTACTTCTTCTATTGATTGATTGCAGATGAAGTGACTATTTGACCTTTAATTATGAGCCTTGCTATTGAAAATGACATTGAGCTATGGCTTCACATAATCCATCTGGAAAGCCCGACATGATGCCATTCCCTGGAGTTCATTCAGTGAGAAGAGAAGAGGCCTCAAGGAAGTGCAAAGCTATCAGTGTGGCTCATCTAAAAAAATACTGTGGAGTTGTTGCTCACACTTACACTAAAGTTCCAGCCAAGTACAGGACATTATTTTATTTTTTGCAAAGAGTGAACTGCTAGATAAAAGTTACAACTGCAGAAGTAAAATGTAGGATTGTAAAAAAATATTTTCACTTTAATTCTTTGTGTTTACTATGTAAAACTATTTCATCAGCAAAAAATGGAGAACTGCTACCTATTTTGGCTACCACAAGTGCAAATATCAGTACTGTAGGTATGATGAACAGCAGATTGGTAAATAAGACCCAAAAAACAACAAAGAAACAAACAGACCCCCTGCCCAAAAAAACAACAAAACAAAACACACAGATTACTTCACCCTATAATAAAATCAGGGTATTTTTTGTGATGCAGAGTGCATTTCTCCTCATTGAGATTTATCAATGTAGCATTTTTTTCTCCATGGAATTCTTAAAGTAATGCAATCAAAGTTTCTAGACTGAAAAATACTTTTAGAAAAGAATGAAGTTCATCTTGCAAATAAAAGCTAAAGTACCAACTTTCTTTTGTATAGTTTTAGTTTCATTCAAATATATTTTTAAATACTCAGCTTTT